ATACAAGCTGAACAAAATGAAAGTAACTAGCATATGAACCATATTCTCTTATTAATGGACTAGAGGCCTGATGCACAAAATTTGTGCAAGGGTAGACCTTGCTTTCCCTGGCTGCCAGTACCAGCTTCCCTCTGGCACCCGGGACCCAGGCTTTCCTCCAGCTGCCAGCAGGCACCAGGGAACCAGGCTTCCCTTACAGCCCCGGCTTAGTCCAGAAGGTTTGTCCAGAAGGACATCCGGAAAGATGTCTGGTCTAATTAGCATATTATGCTTTTATTATTATAGATTAGCTTAGTCCTGGTTATCTGAAGAATGTCTTTGCCAGTTTTACCAGGAGAAAGATCATAATATCCACAATTAGCATCACCGATTCATAAAATGACAAAAAAGATCTTTGAAAGCATCTAGTTAAATGCCCTCCTTTTACAGATTAGAATTCTAAGGCTCAGAGAGGGACAGGGAATGTTTTATATAACTAAAATTTTTTAAAATATATTTTTATTGATTTCAGAGAGGGAGAGGGAGATAGAAACATCAATGATGAGAGAGAATCATTGATGGGCTGCCTCCTGCACACCCCCTACTGGGGATGGAGCCTGCAACCTAGGCATGTGCCCTTGACTGGAATCAAACCCAGGACCCTTCAGCCCGCAGGCCGACACTCTATCCACAGAGCCAAACCAGCTAGGGCTATATAACTAAAATTTATTAATGTAGTTGAGGTTGTTGTTTTTTTATAAGAAGGAAACATTTTGGGTTTTTTTTTGTTTTTTTAGAGGGAGGAAGGGAGAGAGAAAAATGTGAGAGAGAAACATTGATCGGTGGCCTCCCTCACATGCCCTGACCAGAGATCCAATCGAAACCTAGGTATGTGCTCTGACTGAGAATCAAACCAGCCATCTTTTGGTGTACAGGACGATGCTCCAACCAACCGTGCTACATGGGCCAAGGCTATAGTTGAGATTTTTTTTAACTGCCATGTATAATTATTTGCTATTTATATATGTTTATGTGTGTGTGTTGTGTGTGTATATATAACAGGATGGTTTTCAAAAGAAAATCTGGACAATTTCAACCAAGTTATTGTAAAAACCTCAAATATTAAGTTAAGCCAATTAGCTTAGTAAATTCAGTCTCTGGAAAATAAACATATGCATTTGCTTGTTTGCTTTATTTTAACCTAGTTTCCAAACATTTTTCAGTTTGAAAAAGTCTAAAAGAGGAAAGCTTTTTTGCTCTTTTCCTATGGAAGAAACCATTGGTTTTAAGGGCTACATTTTCCAGTTTGATGAACACTAAATGAATCCAGGTATATGAATCAATATGTGCTATGATAGCCTCAATGAATATGATTCCTTAAAAGTCTGACTGTAGCAACAACAAATATATACTGAGCACTAATAATGTTCCAGATGCTAATGCACAGAAAACACGAAGATAATCAACATGAATTCTGCCCTTGAGGAGTGAAGGCAATTCAAGGAGGAAAATCACAAATGCCAAAAGAAGATACAGGCGCAGTCCTGGGGGAGTTCAGAGAAAGAAGCTCAAAAAAAGCTTCCTACAAAATGTGACATTTGAAGAGCTTGATTATTGACCCATTTGGTAGTGAATGAGGAAAGAGTATTCAGGCAAAACAGGGGGGGGGGGGGGGGGGGGGGAGAATAAGTTAGAAAAGCACAGGTGTGCATGTTTGGAATTTAACTGCAGACAAGGGAGGATAGTAGAAAAAAAGTGATTTGGGGCTGGAGTATACCAGTCTTGAATGTCCGCCCAAGCCAATTAGAGAGAGTCATGGAAAGTTTGTTAGCTGGGGAATGTATTCAGAACTATGCTTTAGGAAAATAAATCTAGTAGCTACACATTACACGGCTTGAAGCAGGAAGACTCATTAGGAGACTAATGCAGTGGTCAGGGTAAAAAATGATAAGGAAAATGGAGAAGAGGATATGAATATGAGACATTGCAAATGTCAGGAATTGGAAAGTGATTTGCAATAACCAATTTCTGACCCATAGAAACTGAGATAATAAATGTTTGTTGTTTTAGGGTAATTTGTTATATAGTAATCAATAACTACCACAGTTTGTTTCTTCTGGATTCTTCAGAACAAATGCTACAAAGTGGTGGTTGTAGACTTATCTTGAGATTTTAAGGTTGTTGTTGTTGTTAATGCTCACCAGAGAATATTTTCTTCCCATTGATTTTTAGAGAGAGGGGAAGAGAGGGAGAGAGGGAAGGAGGGAAAGAGAAGCATTGATGTGGAGACACATCGATTGGTTGTCTCCCTCAAGTGCCCTCTCCCAGGGCTGAGGATCCAACCTATAACCCAGGTATGTGACTTTGACTGGGAAGCAAAACCTCGAACCCTCCGTGTGAGGGCCAATGCTCTAATCACTGAGCAACCTTTTGGTGTACAGGATGACGCTCCAACCAACTGAGCCACCTGGCCAGGGTCTGAATCATTATTTTAAAATAGTATTAATAGTATTAACTTTCGAGGGCCATTGTGAGGGCTATGCAAATTAGTTTTTTAACTGCCTGTATTACCATGAAATATATAGGTGCTTAGAAAATGAAAGTCTCTCCCTACCTTGTACGTCCCTACCTTATTTGGCTTTTCTCTGAACTTTCTGAAATCTGTCCCCAATAGAAATTGGGTCAATGCTTTTTTTGCTTAATTCTCAGATATCATTCCATTTTAATGATCCAAACCAGAGGAAATATAAAATCTCAGGCTCACCCCAGTCCTACTGAATTGGAATATGGCTTTTTACAAACTCTCTTGGTGATTCACAAGCACATTAAAATGTGAGAAGCACTGAACTGGTAGCCACCTCAAACTTAATATGGCCAAAACAGAGCCCACACACCCTCTCCAAACCTGCTCTATGCCAGGCTTTGCCATCTAAGTAAATAGCATCACCCATATGTTCATGCCAAAAACTTGGGAGTCATCTTGGACAGCTCCCTCTCCTGTGCCCTCCATGTATAAGCAATCACCAAGCCTACTTCCAAAATAGGTCTGCATCTATCCCTTTCCATCTCTGTACTCATGTCCGGACCAGCATCTTCTGTCACCAGGATTATAGCAGCTAGGGCTGACTTATCCAGTAGGCACAGACGGCACAGTGCCTAGTCCCCACCATTAAGGTTAAATAAAATGTTTTCCTGTGTTATTTATATATATAAAAGGCTAATATGCAAAGTGTCCCCTTGGGAGTTCGACAGGGAGACCGGGAGTTCCATCGCTGGCTATAACATGTGCTGACCACCAGAGGATGGCACAGAATGAAGGCCCTGGCCAGCAGCCAGAAGGCCTTGTTCGGCTCTGATCGCCAGCCAGGCCTAGGGATCCTACCCGTGGCACGAATTCCGTGCACCGGGCCTCTAGTATTAATATATTTGTCTTTATACCAATCATCATAAAATATAATTTTTAATATTGCTTTTATGGAGAAAGAAGCCTATAAAGGCAACGTGCCTAGAGTCTACGAAATGTTATAATGGGGCTGAGCTGGTGTGGCTTGGTGGTTGAACACTGACCTATGAACCAGGAGGTCACAGTTCGATTCTAGGTCAGGGCACATGCCCAGGTTGTGGGCTCGATCCCCAGTGTAGGTGTGCAGGAGGCAGCTGATCAATGATAGTCTCTCATCATTAATGTTTCTATCTCTCTCTCCCTTCCTCTCTGAAACCAACAAAAATATATTATTTTTTTTAAAAACGAAAAGTCATAATGGGGCTCTGGCAGCAACAACCTTTTAACTAAGTGGTCTTTCTCTTCCATTACTGCATCTGTATAATCCACTCTCCATTCAACAGTCTGAGTATTCTTGTTGTGGCCTCTCTTTTTTTGCATTAAAGTATAACGTCTATAAGTAAAATGCACATATTTTAAGTGTACTATGCGATGAATTTTTACATAAATACACACTCATAACCACCAACCACATTAAGATACTAATCCTTCTCAAATTTTTATTTCAACTAATGACATTCCCTTATACAAAATCTACCATGCTCTCCCAACCCACTTGGAATAACATCAAACTACTAAACCTGGTTTACAAAGCCACACGTGATCCAACCTCTACCTAGTTCTCAAACTTCATCTTGTACCCCTCCCTTACCATGCTCTAGCTACCAGCCTTTAAATTCTTCAACGTGCCAAGATGTTCTGGCCTTGGAGCTTTTGACCTAGCTGCGCATCCTCTGCCTTCTCCTAAAGCTCCTCCTGAAGATGTTCACAGGGCTGGCTATTTGTAATTCAGATCTCAGTTTAAATGTCACTACCTCAGAGGCTTGCCTTCCCTGATAAGGCAATCTAGAGCTGCACCCAGATACCTTTTCTCAAAATCACCTTGATTACTAAGTGCTTATTTTTCCCTTACTGGACTGTAACCTCCTTTGGGGAGGTTTTGCTATCTCTTGTACTTAACAAAGCCAGTTAACAGTACCTGACACATGGTAGCTACCCAATGAAATGTTTCACTGAATGAAATGCTAATATGACAAATAATATACGATAAAGTGTAGCATTAGCTGGAGAAGCATGGATCGCACGCTTCTGTGAAAAATGGAGCCTGAGTTTGACTGAACCAAGCCAGTCAGTAAAAGGAAGGATTAAATGAGGTAAAAACCATGGCAAGTAAGTGTTCCCTATCTTTTACTTTCTTATTCCTTCTAAACATGCCCAATTAGAACCATCCTTACCCAGGATTGTGGGCTTGTCTTGCTTCAACAAACAGAAATTTAAAAAGAAACTCCGAATGCTCGCCCCCAGAAAATCAATTGTAGCACACCCATTCTGAGTTCCAGCCCGCTTCCATTCCCTCCCAGGGCAGCCAACGCGGCCCCGCCCCTTCCGCTGACCCCACCGACAGGAAGTCCGGGCACCAGGAGACCCCGCCCCGGGCTGAGGCCCTGCCCCTGGTCGGCACGTAAGGCTACGTAAAGCGTTAGGGGTTTCGCGACAGCCCAGGCCCCACCCCTTAGGCCACACGTCGCGTAGGTCTTCCCGTAGGACACTGCGCCACCTCCTCACGCAGCTCTACGAACCCAGAACAGCAACGCCCCGCCTCCTGTCTCACTCTTCACCTCCCCGCCCCCTCCCAGTTTCGCGACTCCTAGCCCGGCGCTCCCGCTATAATCACGTGATTGCCTCATCCGGGTCCTTTGCGTTCTCTCTCCCTCTCCCAACATGGCGGCCTCAGGTGAGTGAGCGGCCGAGTGCGTCCAAGGACCGGGTTCCCAAGCCACTCTCCGAGCCTGATCTCCTGATTCCCTGGAGTCGGGGAATAGGCGGCACTGCTTCCCTTGGGATTTGGAGGCTGCGGCAGGCTGGCGACTTGGCCCTGTTAGGTTACCGCCTCGGGATATTTAGGGGGGAGGGGGAGGGGAAGGACACCCTCCCCCTCACCCCCTTTTCACCCCATCTGCGCGAGGTTGGAGCGGGGAGTAATGATGGACTCTGGCTTGAGTTGGAACGGAGAGGAGGCACAGAAAGATCGGCGGGAGGCGGGAGGCCTTCTCATAGACGCGAAGCGCTGTGCCAGCGGGAAGGCGTGGAGGAAAGGAGGAGGCGGTTGGCGCGCGGACGGGTGCACGCTAGACCAGGGCTCCCGGGCGCGAGGCCGTTGCGGACGGGAGTGGGGGCAGGGGATCGGGGCGGGGGGGCCAGTTAGAACCCGAGCTCTAGTAGCTGGAGGGGCGGGAGGTGGCAGTGGTGCGCGTGCGCGGGAGGAGAGCTGAAGGTAGTGGAGACGGGCGCGCCTTAAAAGCACGCGCGAGAGCGCAGATGGCAAGACTTTAGGCGCTTGTGTTTTATGTCCTTCCACTTCCCCTTTTGGAGTGTGGCCCGGCCTGTGTATTGCAAGGGTCTGCGTTAGGCTTGGAGGTTGAAGTTACAGAGTTAGGTGGGATTGGGAAACCCACTGGTGCACCCACGTGTTGGAAGAGAGGAAGCAGGGTGGAGTCAGATTTCTAGTAAGTCAACACATTTTTACTGAACGCAAACTAGACTAGCACACGGTTCATGGTGTTGGAGATACAGTGATGAGCAAGATTAGATCCCTTGACAGCTTCCATTTTGGTTGAATTTTTATACCTTCAATGGTGGGATTCAGCTCCTTTTTTAATTTTTTTCTGAGATAATTGAACAACTAGGAGTGGTTTTAAAATAATACTAGTTGCTCGAGTTGGTTTCTGTTTAGACTTCTTGGAGGGAGGGAATATCACTGCCATGCAAGTCTATTTACATTTCTAATGAAATAGCAGTGAGCTGTGCAGCATTTTGTAGCATTAATTTTGGTTTTGGGGACATACGGTGGGCATTCCTAATCTGAGGATTCAACCCACGGGGATGGAAAATATGGGGGGGGGGGAAATGTTGTGTTGCTGGTGTGTACTATGTAGTTAGCCTGTACTGGGCATGTATAGACTTTGTATTACTCCCTAAACAGTACAGTGTAACAACTCTTTACATACCATAACTTTGTATTAGGTATTAGAAGTAATTTAGAGGTGACTTAAAGTATACGGGAGGATTTTGTAGTGTATATGCAAATACTATGCTATTCTGAATAAAGTACTTGAGCATATGAGGAATTTTAGTATCCACAGAGGCCCAGGAACCAACCCCCTACAGTACCAAGGATCGACTAGTTCCTTTTCCCTGGCCCGACCTTGAATACTACAAAATATTTATTGAGCCCCTGCTGTCTCTGGACACTCATTTACCACCAAGAATTTATCATCTCTGTTATTATATAGGAGACTAAGGATTGTGTATGTCTTTGGAGAATGTTGAGGGAATTGAGATGCATTTGAACATCATACCTTTTCATCGATGTAGCACTAGACAATTAACCAAGCACTTTTATGTCTCTTGTCTCGTTTGATGCTCTGAGATAAATGTAGCTAGATGGTGGTATCTCCCAGCTGAAGAAGATGAAATTATTTGTTCAAGGTCATACTGTATGCAGGTGGCAGAGCAAAGTCGAAATCTTTGAGACTCCTGACTCTTCTCCATTATCAACTTGGAAATAACAAGGTTGGCTTCCATGTCATAAGTTCTGGGTGCTGCCCAAAAGCTTCATCTGAAACAAAGTGCTTATTCAGCCTGCATTTGCCATCATAACAGCTTAGTGTCATATTTAGTGAAAAGGCTATACTCCCTTTCTCCGTAACTTTTGTGGAATTTTTAAAAGTGGAAGACATGTTAGCTATTTGTGTCATTGATTTCAGAGTTGAGTGAAAACCAGAAGGGTCAACGGGATTTGCTTAGTGATATCTCCTGTTCCATATTTACTCTTCCTTGGAAGCTCTCATCTCCTTTAATTCCTTAAATCTCTTTAGATTGTGAACTATGCTAGTATCTGACAGTCTGCCCTTGAAGAATTTGGAGTTTATCAAAATTCTTTACCTACTTTGAATCTTTTCCAATTAATCACACTAATTTTGTTGAGTGACCGGTATTCCCAGATATTGGTCACTCAACCAATATGGCTGTAGTGATCCTATATAATAAAAGGGTGACATGCAAATTGACCTTAACGGCGGAACAACCAGAACTACTGCTAGACCAGTCACTATGAGGCGCACTGACCACCTCTTGGTCCTTTTCCGCGGCCAGCAGGCTCCGATCGCCTGATGGCGAACAGGGAACCAGGGATGGGTGCCAGGCCAAGCCCCCCGCCCCGCCAGTGCCCGGCCAGTCGCCCCACACACAGAGGGCGACCCATGGTGGGGGTAGGGCCAGCAAGTGGGCAGAAACAGCCCACCTCTTGGTCCCTTCCCCCGGCTGTCAGGCAGCTATCACCAGATGGCAAAAGGGAGCCGTGGGTGGGTGGCGGCAGGGGGCAGGGCTGGCTTTGGGCAGCCAGGGAAGATGGCCCTGATCGCAGGCCAGGCCTAGGCACCATACCCGCACACAAATTTCGTGTGCTGGGCCTCTAGTAAAACTATAAAATTCTCAGAGTGTAATTTCAGTATATTTCTTTCTTTTTTTTATATATATATATATTTTATTGATTTTTTACAGAGAGGAAGGGAGAGAGATAGAGAGTTAGAAACATCAATGAGAGAGAAACATCGATTAGCCGTCTCCTGCACATCTCCTACTGGGGATGTGCCTGCAACCCAGGTACATGCCCTTGACCGGAATCGAACCTGGGTCCTTTCAGTCCGCAGGCCGATGCTCTATCCACCGAGCCAAACCGGTTTCGGCTCAGTATATTTCTTGATGTTAAATGTTTGATACAGGTTAATTTTTGAGACTAAAATGCTTTAAAACTGTAAATAGTATTTATATATATATGCCCACAAAAGGCCTTTTTCATTTGTCATTATATGTGGGATCTTGTTTGATTGTTTTTTATAGAAAGAGGATGGTGTCCAATGATGGTTTTTGTACATCACTTGGTACAACTGAACCTTATAGTTAGTTAAAAATAGTTACATTGGTTGCTATAGATGCTGTTCACATATTACCTATTTTCAAATCCCATCCTCTATCTACCATGCATGTTACTCTGGGAATAATATACTCAGAATCAGAAGGCCAAAACTAAAACTTAATGAAAGTTCAAGTACAAATACAGAGAGTAGTGTCAAAGTAAAAATGTTTCTAAGTAATGTCATTTAAATATACACTTTAAACAGCTTTGATATGTAATTCACATACCATATATGTATGGCTTAGAATGCAATACCCTACTATTTGGTATTAGTCTCAAAACAGCCTAGAATTTATTCTCTTTTCATGATGGTGTGAGAAAGAATGAACTTCAGGTGAGTGTGTTTGTTTGTTTTTTGACCAAGTGCTTATTTGTAATTAAGTATGTGTATGTACATTTTTAAGTGCATATACCAAAGTCGGTTTCTCAGATTTGTGATAAATATTGCTTTGGTCCTAATGGTAGGAAAATGCCCAAAGCAAGAAGTTATTCTTAAATTTTTATAGCTCCTCTCTTACATATAATCTCCAAGTACTTTGTGTAGTGGTTAGCATGATGTGTTTATTTTTTATTTTTATAATTATCAAATTGAGTGGAAAGGTGAGGAAAGGGCAGTAGGCATTTTCCTCAGACTGTCAAGATGAAATTGGGCAGAGAAGAAGGGTTCATATTTACCTGAACCCAGGGGTTGAAGTGATGGAGCTTATTAGTTCTGACTTAGTCTTTATTCTCTACTCTGCTGAACTATAATGCAGTAAAGGTAAGGCCTCTCAACATCATGATATCGCATTGTATGAAACCTCTTCAGTCTGGGCTCTAATTACTGTAGTTCTAGATACTCCTGTATTTGGGTGCATTGATTGCATTTATACAATGCTGTTTCTTTAAGGAAACATTTGTTAATCACTATTCTTTCATTCTGGAGGATATGGCGAGATTCACTTCCTTTAAAAGAAACAGCTTATCCATTAGCAGTCATTTATCCTCACCCCTCCTCCAACATTAATCTGTTTCTTTGTATTTACCTGTTCTGAATATCTTATACAATATGTGGACTTTGTTATTAGCTTCCTTCACTTAGCATGTTTTCAGGATTCATTTGTATTGTAGGATGTATGGGAACTCAGTTCTTATTGCCAAATTGTATGGACATCTATATTTTATTTATCAGTTAATGGACATTTGGGTTGTTTCCAGGTTTTTTTGCCTAGTATGAATAATACTGCTGTGATCTTATACAGGTTTTTATGACGCTGACTTTCTTAGCCTGTGGTTACTAAAACATTCAAAAGAGTTGATAACCCTATAAAATAAGTGGGACTTAGTCTGACAGGATCTAAAATTAAGAAACTTAATTTTTGACAAAGCCTTGTTACTCGAACTCCCCTTCCTAAATAAGAGATTAAGAAAGGTGCAGGAGTGGACGGCATTGTACAACCAAAACGCTTTATTGCTTATAGTACTTTAAGATGTCCTCTGTTTTGAAATACAGAACTATCAGCCAGTCTCTATGGATTTTATCACTCCAATAGCTGCCAATTGTGTTTTTATTACCAATACAAAGAAAGCATATTTTCTACATTCTGCAACCTGATAATCCTGAATACTTGGTTTATTGCCGTCACTTTTCTGCTGCTGTACTTTATGTTGGGCTAACATTTCCTTTTATTTGTCCTTTTATTTATTGTGAAAATAACACTTAGAACAGTGGTCCTCAACCAGGGGCAATTTTGTCTCCCCCCAGGAGGCATATAGCAGTGTCTGGAGGCATTTTTTATTGTGGGGTGGGGACTTTTTTATTGGCATCTAATGAATAGAAACTAGAGATGCTAGTAACATTCTGCAATGCACAGGACAGTCCCCTCAACAGAATTACCTAGCCTACAATGTCAGTGGTGTAGAAATTGAGAAACTGACAGAGTTAAGTTGATTTGTTGTCTTTATTTTTTTATATATCATAACAAATTCTGTTTATTGAGAATGCTAGAGATGTATTATTTCTTGTTTAAGGACATGTAGTCTTAATTTTGAAAAATACTTTCTTTTTAAAATGTCTTAAAAATACATTTTTATTGATTTTGGAGAGGAGAGGGAGAGATAGTAACATCAATGATGAGAGAGAATTATGGGTGGGCTGCCTCCTGCACACCCCACACTGGGAATGGAGCCTGCAACTCGGGCATGTGCTCTGACCAGGAATCGAACCGTGACCTCCTGGTTCATAGGTTGGTGCTCAACCACTGAGCCATGCCAGCTGGGTTTAAGATCTATTATTTAACCTATATGAGTCTATAAAAGAGCTTCACAAGTAGTCGGCCCTCTACCTTCAGGTGTCTCGTGGGCAGATGTCACCAATTGCTAACGGAAAAAAACATTAGGGGGAAAAGGTATGCTATGTAGTTAGGTCTGCAATGGTTGCATGTGTACAGACAATATACACTTTTTTCTTGTCATTATTCCCTAAATACAGTTTAACTATATAGCATTTATATTGGTTTTGGTATTATAAGTAATCTATAAATGACTTAAAGTATATGGGAGGATGAGTTAAAATACATCATTTCATATAAAAGTCATGAGCATCTGAGGATTTGGGTATTCATGGGGGAAGGAGCTTGGGACTGTGGATACCTAGAGATCACTGTACCCAGTGCTTGTCAGTAAGTTACGATTGTAATTGAGGCAGCAGGCAGAGGATTTAATAAAATTTCTGGACACGTGTTTCCTCCCCCCTTAACCCATGTGGGTTTGGTCTTAAATTGGGGCTTGTTTTGTGAGGTTGTTGGTTTAACTTTTTAACCAATTGGATTAAAGAAAAATGAGAGTTACGTAGATCAGTTGGATCATTGTGGCAAGGGATTGATAAACCTTGAGTGTTAAAAACAATGTTTTACCTTATAAAGAGGAGAACTTTGTTGAAACCCTAAACATGTTGTGGGCCTAGATATTGGAGGAGCAAAGGGCATAGAGGATTTAGAGAACATAGTTTCTCAGTTTTGGGAATAAAATAGAGTGAAGCAAACATTGGCACGCACTTTAGATTTGTTGATTTTGCTATTTAAAGGCTGGTTTCTTTAAATCTGCTGCTTATATTGTGATTGAGTCAGTTCTGCTAGATTTAAAGAAACTTAAGTTAGAAACCTTATGAAATAATTTTTGCCTGAATTAAATGAAATCTGTCATCATCCAACATGGATTTCTCAACCAGAAATTTTTAGAGTGGGCAGTGACAAAATCAGGGGAAATGGAGATGTATGATTTGAAAAGGCATTCTACAACGGTGCTTTAATATTTTTTAGTAATTTGTTTTGCTTATTATTTTTGGAATTTCAAATAACATTGAAGGAGACTTGTTTGTCAAGAGTCAAGGGGTAAAAGTTGAGAAATCCTGATCGAGAAAGTTGATTTAAGCCAAAATCAGACCAAAGGGCAAGTTAGTTTCAGATTCTGCAGTTTTATTAGATATGTATGTAGAACAAAGGGGAAAGGGATACCTTAATCAAATTCTTATTAATCTTATGTTGAACTTGGACGAACCACTAGTTCTATTTTTATTGTTCCAATAACCAGACAGGTTAATAATTGGTCATACCTGATGACATAGATTAAGTCCTGTGAGGGTAAGGTGCTCTAGCTAGTATCTTACTAGTCCCAGACAGTGTATTTGAACTAGAGGGCATAGAGAAAACTAAAATAAGCCTATATACTATAAGTTTTCTACCTCACAGGTATGCTTTATGTCTTATTCAAATTAGCTTTTTAAACTTTTCCCTAGGCTTTTGCATATGAGCCAGGAGCAGTATCACTGCTATAGTACCCAACCTCTGCATAACTGCTTTCTTTGGAAGCATAAAACAGATCCAGTATAACCTGGTTGATCATAAATTATACTTTTGGAGAAGGAATAGTATTAATTCACTTGAGAGAAGCATGGAAACTTCACATTCAAGGCCATCTTTCCCTGTATTATTGCAGCCAGGTTCATCTGGTTTGCACATTGAGACCATAATACTTCGAGTTCTTGCTGTGTCCAAAAGATTCATAACATTCATCGCAAACAGGACTTTATAGGAATAAGTTGGACTTTAAAAGAAAGGCAGATACCAAGTGAGAGAGCACCCTTTTTAGTTAAGCAAATGGTGCATCAAGTTACAGATTTTTCTTGGATTGAAAATTGGAGATTTGGAACATGGAGGATGAACTCATGGCTATAAAAGCCATGAAACTGATGTTTGTTACAACAAAGCTGCTTACTTTTACCATGTAGTGACTGCTCTCGGGAGCCAGTTCTAGAACTTAACTTAGTCCTTTCAGCTCTCTGCATTAGCTATTGATGGATGCCATCTCAGAAGTGCTGAGGACTAGATAGTCAGAGAGCCAAGGTCAGTCCACTAAATGGAGTCTTGGAGATTCTTGAAGATTTCATGACTGGAAAACATTTAAATGTGTTGATTCTTAGGGATTTCTTAGTTATTCCCTTTAGTATAATATCTCGTTTTCATATGTAGTGTTAAGGTAGGGGAGGAGATAAAAAATTTTTTCTAGAGGGCGGAGAGATCCAGCTATGTATATGAACCTTACCATTTTAACACTTTCAAATGACAGTGAGTACAACATGTTACCATGATTATTATAACCTGCCATGGAACTAACAACAAACTGCTTAGAGGCTGGGGCCTCTTTGGGAAGAGCCCAAAACTTGGTATGCAAAACCCTGGGTTTAATTCTGGCTCTGCCATCCAGTAGTTCTGTAACTTCAGCATAGTCATTTTGTCTCCGAGTTTTTGTTTCTTTTTCTGTAAATTTTTATAGCAGTGATTCCTACCTCACATGGTTATTTTACAAGTATCAGACAATCTTCAAAAGTGTCATACAGCCCAGTCGGTGTAGCTCAGTGGTTTAGTGTCAACCCGGGAACCAAGAGGTCTCCAGTTCAATTCCCAGTCGGGGCACATGCTCGGCTTGTGGGCTCTATCCCCAGTAGGGACCATGCAGGAGGCAGTTAATTGATGATGTTCCTCTCTCATCAATGTTTCTATCTCTCTCCCTTCTCTCTCTAAAAATCAATAAAAACATCTTTTTTTTAAAAAAGTAAACAGTAATAAGTGTCATACAGACACTTAGTGTCATACAGAATGTTATAGGGATAGGAATTTTGTTTTTATTTCTTTGTATCCCAGGAACAACAAATGTTGTAACCTGTTTAAAATGCAAGTAGTTGCTAAATTAAAAATCTCAAATTATATGAGTGAATAGAGTAGGGAATAAAAAGGTTGCCCTCATCCCAGCCTTTCTCCACATAAGGCACACTTGAAAATCCTTCTAGACCCTTTTTCATGCATAAAAATAATGTGTATTTAAACAAAGGGACTTAAATAATAAGTATTCTGCAACCTTTTTTTTTTTTTTTACTCTTTCGGCTTTCTGTGCCAGTATATTGTGTTTTCTTATTTACAAATGCATAGTATTCATATAAATGCCATCATCCAATCCTTTGATAAACCTTTATGTTGCGTTGTGTGTTGTGTTGTGTTTTGTTTGAGAGGGAGAGAGAAAGAAACATGGATCAACTGCCTCCTGCACACCCCCTACCAGGGCATCAAGCCTGAAACCTGGGCATGTGCCCTGACTAGGAATTAAACCAGCAACTCTTTGGTGCATAGGACAATGCCCAACCAACTAATAAGCCACACCGGCCAGTTGCTTTCTTTATAAATATATTTAACAGTAGTACATTGTATAACCCTGTAAATACCCAGGTATTGATGAATAATCTTTCTGCCCTTTTTAAAACAGCAAAAAAGAAGAATAAGAAGGGGAAGACTATCTCCCTAACAGACTTTCTGGCTGAGGATGGAGGGACTGGTGGGGGAAGCACTTATGTCCCCAAACCAGTCAGCTGGGCCGATGAAACAGACGACTTGGAAGGCGATGGTAATTTTCCTTTTTCATTATCTCCTAGACAAAACCTATTCCATAATAGTGGTTCACACTTGTAATTTGAAAGAACTCATTTTGTAGAACCTGAAATACTATGTTTATGTATTTTATGGAATTTTAGGTTTAGGCTGTGAGAGTTTGTAATAGGGACTAAAGTTGTGACTCAAGAAAGCTAGTTCTGGCTCTTGAATGAACAAATTTTTCTTAAGGTACTATCCTTTTTAAGTCATTCATTTGAAAAGTAAGAACTAGATTGTTTCCTTTTAGGTTTAAACTTCTATGATGTCCTCATAAAATAATATTGCAATGTAATCTATAAGCTGCTTATACTCAGAGTCAAGGAAATTCATTCTAGGAGCTGTTATTATGAAGTCACAGTGTCCCTGGGTAAATAAAAGTGGTCTGATAAAAAGGTATAGGAATAGTAACTATGGTGGAGAAATATAGCAGAGTCATGGGATGTCATTGAGATAAGTTTTATACTTTCAAGGACTAGGCAGGAGCTACATATAATTGGATATGGGATAAATCTGATTACCCATGTTTTTTGTTTTTCTAAAAGCTTTCATTGTAGACTAAAGAATAATTTTTCTATTGTAACCTATTTTCATAATTTCATAGATTGTACTTTCCATAAGTGTTGATACCTGAAGTGCAAATTCATGGGCAATGCTATAGGGACAGAATTAATCTTTTTTTTTTTTAAATAAAGGGAGGATAAACCATGAAGAAAATACTTTCTTTAACTGAAAGGCTAGAATGAGAGCTGTTCGTAGTGGTTAAATACATTTGGCGTGAGAGAGACCCAGGTCGGAATCCTAGCTCTACCAGGATTACCAGCTACTGCTCTACCATCTGTGTGACCTTAGTTTCCTGAAATCTGAGTTTCTTTCTTTAGAATGGGGAACAATCTCACAGGATTGTTAAAAAGATAAGATGGGATGCAATGAATATGACATCTCTAGCACATAGTAATATTCCATAAATAGTTGATATTCTCTCTTTCTCTTTGCTACATAAAGAATAAGAGTCACCATGATTCTGTTAACTAAAGCCTGGGCCTTGAAATACTTAGAAACAAATAGACTTGAGTCTTTTTGTGTTGTTTTTCTGAATGTAATATTACCGTTTCTTTCTTGGGGTAGCTTATTTAATGCTTGGCATTTAGCATAGGTCCTCTTATTCTACAATGGCAGTGAGGGAAGTTTCCTCTAACTTATGTCCACTTTTCTATCCTAGTTTCAACCACTTGGCACAGTAATGATGATGATGTGTATAGGGCACCTCCAATTGACCGTTCCATCCTGCCCACTGCTCCACGGGCTGCTCGGGAACCCAATATTGACAGGAGCCGTCTTCCCAAATCGCCACCCTACACTGCTTTTCTAGGGAACCTGCCCTATGATGTAACCGAAGACTCCATTAAGGAATTCTTTAGAGGATTAAATGTAAGTCTAAAGGTTTAGGCAGCCCTAACTGGTTTGGCTCTGTGGAGAGAGCGTCTGCCTGCGGACTAAAGGGTCCCAGGTTTGATTCCAGTCAAGAGCATGTACCTTGGTTGCAGGCACATCCCCAGTAGGGGTGTGCAGGAGGCAGCTGATGATTCTCTTTCATCAATGTTCCTAACTCTATCCCTCTCCCTTCCTCTCTGTAAAAAATCAATAAAATATATTTAATAAATAAATAAAGGTTTAGGCAATTAACTAGATACGAAAAGTAGCATTATTGATAGTGACTTCTCTGATTTTCTATGTTGAGAAAGATTCTAAGATTGTGTCTAGACTTGGAAGAAGTGGGTGTATAATTAAATGTTTAGGCTCTTTGGCTGAGAATGTTCTCATCCAACACCATTGGACAATCTTAGAAAAATTAACGGTACCTTATTGATACAGGGAGAGTCTCTCAAACCTATACCCCTTCTCATTAAGAAACTTAAACGTGAGATACCCTGTTAAATGTTAAAAGGTAGAAAGTTTCTCTGAACTCAGCCATTCTGTTAATGACATTCAGGCTTACATCAAGATTACTAATTTTCTGTAAGAACACATTTAACTTAGCGGATATATTAGTATAATTTATATTAACAAAGTTTGCTTGCTTTAAAAGCTTAAGATAAGTATTTTTTATTAAATTTATTGGGGTAACATTGGTTAATAAGATTATATAAGCTTCAAGCGTCCATTTCTATGATATATGATCTGTATGTTGCATTGTGTGCCCAACACTCAAATCAAATCATCTTCCATCACCATATATTTGGTCCCTTTTACCCTTTACTATCCCACTCCCCTTCCCTCTAGTAACCATCATACAGTTGCCTGTTTCTGTTTCAGTTTTATATCCCACATATAAGTGAAATCAAATGGTTCTTAGCTTTTTCTGACTGACTTGTTTCGCTTAGCATGATATTCTCAAGGTCCATCAATGTTACCGCAAATGGTGGTTTTTCATCTCTTCTTAATGGTACGTTTCACAATGCTGGTCTATAAAGTTCTAGAGCAGTGGTTCTCAACCTTCCTAATGCCGCGACCCTTTAATACAGTTCCTCATGTTGTGGTGACCCCCAACCATAAAATTATTTTCGTTGCTACTTCATAACTAATTTTGCTACTGTTATGAATCGTAATGTAAATAACTGATATGCGGGATGTATTTTCATTGTTACAAATTGAACATAATTAAAACATAGTGATTAATCACAAAAACAATATGTAATTATATATGTGTTTTCCGATGGTCTTCGGCGACCCCTGTGAAAGGGTCGTTCGACCCCCAAAGGGGTCACGACCTGAAGGTTGAGAACCGCTGTTCTAGAGTATAGAGGTCCTGAGAAGTTCTTTTTTCAAACTTTGATTAAAAAATACTAAGGACTTAAAAAAAATGAAACAATGAGCAGCAGGTTTTAGTTCTATTAGGTTTTTCTCCAGTCTTTGCCAATGAGAAAATACTTAAAAGCAGCTGCTCCCTCCTATTTTGTAGTTGGGGTTTTTTATGTGATTATATTTTTTAATACATTTTTATTGATTTCAGAAAGGAAGGGGGAGAGAGATAGAAACATCAGTGATAAGAGAGAATTATCAATCGGCTGCCTGCTGCACGCCCCTTACTCGGGATCAAGCCCGCAACCCGAGCATGTGCCCTGACCCGGAATTGAACCATTACTTCCTGGTTCATAAGTCAACACTCAAACACTGAGCCTCACTGGCCAGGCATTGATGTGATTATTTTTGACTGCCACCTACAAATTTTCTTCTCTGTTTAATTATGTAGACCAGGGGTCCTCAAACTTTTTAAACAGGGGGCCAGTTCACTGTCCCTCAGACCGTTGGAGGGCCGGACTATAGTTTAAAAAAAAACTATGAACAAATTCCTATGCACACTGCACATACCTTATTTTGAAGTAAAAAACAAAACAAAATGGGAACAAATACAATATTTGTATTTGCATGTGGCCCGCGGGCCGTAGTTTGAGGACCCCTGATGTAGACCAACTAAAAGGTTGACCTGTTCTTGATTTTTCTCTAGTGGCCTTTCTCTAGAATGTTGGATAAAATCTTGGTCTATTCGGGCTTTTCACCTTTATGCTCAGGAACTGGTATTTAGCTACTTCCCTTTTCATGTTTTGTTGCTTTTTCTACTGTATCATGAGTTTAATTAAACTAGAATTTTTAAAAGACTATAATAAAATTTATATATCAGACACCAGAATAGATATCAAATCACTGGTACAGAAGATAAACTTGAATATAGTAAATCAAAAGGGAAAGGAAAACAGATGTGGATGACGGAAAGGAGATGGTGGGAAAATAAAAGAATTTGAAATCGATCTTAAAATTGGACATAAAGAGGGCTTAACCTGTTGTAAATAATTAATAAATAAAAAATAGTGCCAGGGATTGTTTTATGAAACTTTAAGGAAAAAATCCTGCATTTACAATCAGAAACCACATGTTAACCTCAAATTAAAACCACGTCAGTGTGAATTTTTTCCTGTGCTTCAAAGAGTAAAAATTGAGTGGTTTGCCATCTCAGAATTCAGCAGAGGGGTTAGGGATGAGGGAGTTTACAATCCAGTGTTTGATTCTATCAAATTTTTGTTAATGTATGAAGACAATAGTTCTCAGATAAGTAAGGTTTCTGCAAAATATACTGCCCAGAAAATTTTTTGGCAATAATTGAGTTAAAGACTAAAATAAGCTAATTGTGGAATGGGCGATACAAGGAATACACTGAACTCGTGTTGTTTTTGTTTAGTGTTTTTTTTTTAAGGGTTAAATTTATATTCAAGTTGAAGAGGTTTGATAGGGTATACAATGAAGTCTGTCTTCTATCTCTTTGCAATGGTTTCTTGCTTGAAGACAACCAGGTTCTTCTGTATTCAAAAAATTTTATTGCATATAATAATGTATGGTGGTCAAAAGAGGCGAATAAACCAGAACATTGATTTGTGAAACATTTTTTGTTGTTTTGTTTGTTTTGTTTGTTTACTTCAGATCAGTGCAGTGCGTTTACCACGTGAACCCAGCAATCCAGAGAGGTTGAAAGGTTTTGGTTATGCTGAGTTCGAGGACCTGGATTCCTTGTTCACTGCCCTGAGCCTCAATGAAGAGGTAAAGAAAATAAGGGTGGAGAGTTTGAGGGGTGGGAGCTGACAAATCTAGTGTTTATCAAACTGGTATTTTTTTATGTTGGGTCAGTAACTGTTTCAAAGGTTCCCAGAATATCTATAAAGAAAAGCCTGGGTTACTTAACAATGTAACACTTAAAAGTCACACCACATTTCAGCAAGATCAACAGGCTCCAATAATTCAGGGAGGTACTTAGGTGGAAAACTGTGGAAGAAATTCACCACACCAAGTCTTTAATAGAATCTCACATTCGCTCATAGCTTTGCCTTAGATCTGGTGGCTTTGCTTTTTCAAAGTAATCTGACCAAATCAAACCAAATAGGAAAATCATATTAATCAGTTTAGTATTAAAAGGCATTTTCTCATTTCAGGGAAGTAATGGTGTTTCATTATAATTTTAAGAGGGTTCGGAAACATTTCTTATTCAAACGTCCTTTGTAATAAATACATGCTCTTAGGAATCTTTTACAGAAGAATGACAGTAAACATTCAGTCCTGCTTTTTATCATTGCCCATAGATGTTTTTCTATCCAGACAAATTGGCAGTTAAGTAGGGAGAGGAGATTCAGCTGTTAATACATGAGAGGGAAATAGAGATTAAATCTAATTGTAATACAGTTAGCACATGATTGGTGCTATGTAGTGATTCTTAGGCAGGATACTGAAGCATTTATTTACCTTTTAGTGATGGAAGTTTGTAATCTTGAAACTTCTCTTTTTACTTCTAGTGACTAGAAATGAAACTAATTATATCTGGGAAGAAAAAAAGACTTTTTTTTTTTTCTTTCTCTTAATTCCAGAAATCCCTCATTATTTGTTGAGAAGGCAGTTTCCAGTGCCATTTGTGCCATAATTCTATGGTCCAGATCTGCCATTTGACATGATTAAAACCAACACCTCTTAAAATATTTTCCTACCTCATAATTGAGTACCACTTTGATAATCTGAAGTAAATGCTAGTTAGAAATAAAAATTCACTTATATAGTTAAATATATGAAAAGCTGAAGTTATTCCAAAGTAATTCTTCTCAGATCATTTTTTAGATCTTATTAATATTACTAATTTTTAACTTCTCAGTCTGGATTTTAAGAGAATAGCATGGGAGGACAGGTGCTGGGTAGAGGGGGTCAATGGGGGAAAGGGAGGACATCTGTAATAACATCTAAAGAATAATAAAGATAATTTTTTTAAAAAAAGAATAGCATGTAGTAATTATCTGAAGTTTGCTGGATTAACTGTTAAAATGTTGTCATGGTCCTAACTAAGGAGCTGCTGTGTATTTAGAGATTTTATTATAGTGGTATTTAATATAATTCTGGGTATTTTTAACTAAAATTTACTGTTATCCTTCTTCAACTGTAGATTCTACTGCGAAATGAGGAAAAATCAGCAGTAGAATTAATTGGGTTCAAAGTATATAAATAATGATGTGGGCAAGGGAAATCAGAGGGTATCCTGGAGGAACTGATTTACCCAAAGGTAATATTAAGTGGAAGAATTTAAGATTATACAGAGACCATGCTTTAAGCAACTTTGTGATACATAGTAGTAAGGGCTCTGTAAATGTTTGAATGAATTACTCTGGACCCAAATGTGTCTTTTGTTTAGATGTCTGGGGATTATTTTTAACTTACTATACTTGGTATTAAATTGCCTTTGATAGTTGAAAAGTTAAATTAACTCTATTCTGTGAAATTTATCTTGATAAAAATAAGTTAATTGACCTGACATCATTTAAGCCCAACTTAACTAAGTTTTCAAGTCTTTATAAAGGATTCTTTAGCCAACAAATTGGAATGTTGGGTAGATTACAATGTTTTTCCTTTATCTTCCTTCCCCCAGTGCTTCTGCTATGCCCAGATGTTCAAGGTCACTCATAGGATTTGTGCATAATGGGGCAAAAGGTTGGTTAATATGGTCCTATGCTCTCAGTCTCTAGGTAACAGGAGAATTCGAGTGGACGTTGCTGATCAAGCCCAGGATAAAGGTAAGGAAGCTGACAAGTTCTCCTGTTTTGTTATTGTCCTTTCCCAGAAAATTTTAATAGAAGTAGATAGTGGTAGCCCTACTTTAATCTAGATTAGTACTTAACTAAGGATGATTTTGCCCTTAGGGAACATTTGTTGATGTTTGGAGACATTTTGGGTTGTCACAACTGGGGAGTACTACTGACATATAATAGATTCCAGGGACTAATCCAATAATGCGTAGGACAGCCCCCCACAAGAAAGAATTGTCCAGCTCAGAATGTTAGTAGTGTTGAGATTGAGAAGCCCTGATTGACATAGGTGTTAAATGTATAATAAATAGATTAGTTACCCAACAGCACATTGGACACAAGAGGGGCCTAATTTATGTATATATCAGGGCTCCTCCTAATACAGAAGTTGAGAGATAAGCGTTAAGCCAGTAGGAATAAATGTGAGGAAATATATCACTCAGTTGAATTGGAGAGTGCACTTGTGATAACTTCGTGACTGTGCTGTGGTATGAGCAAGAAATAAAGTAAATTGAAGGGAGTTTTCTACCCATGCAATTAATATTGAGCAAATGTTTTTGTGGACTCGTTTGTTATTTTATTTTATATATCTATAGACAGGGACGATCGTTCTTTTGGCCGAGATAGAAATCGGGATTCTGACAAAACAGATACAGACTGGAGGGCCCGTCCTACCACAGACAGCTTTGATGACTACCCACCTAGAAGAGGTGATGATAGTTTTGGAGACAGTAAGTTCATTTTTATCAAGTTCATTTTTTCTGTGTTACTTTCTCTCTTTTTTTAGAGACAGTTAATAAAGAAACCCAACCGATTCTACAAAGTAAAGTACTTGAATTAACATGACTCCAGCAAGATTGATGGGTTTAGAGTGGTATTTAGTAATTCCTCACTTGATATAATTGATAGGTTCTGCAACTTTTAAGTGAAACAGCATATAATGAAACCAGTTTTACCATAGGCTAATTGATAGAAACAAGAGTTAAGTTCTACATTATTGGAGAATTTGCTGTACAAAAATTCCTTGCATTACTAGAAGCAGTCAAAATGTAAGTTTATAAAAATATCTTTTAAAATAACAAAATTCATTCACTTCAAAAATACTAAATGTTTGCCATATGCCAGATATTGTTCTAAGTTCAGGCTAAAGCAGTGAACAAAACAGACAAAAATCCCATCTTCATTGGACATTGTTTATACTAGGGAAGAGAAACAATCTATACTAATAAAAGAGTAATATGCTAATTAGACCCAGAGACCTTCTGGACAAAGCCATGGTGGCGGGACCGAGGCAGAGGCAGTTAGGGGCGATCAGGCCAGGGGGAAGGGCAGTTGTGGGCAAGCAGGCCAGCAGGCAGAGTGGTTAGGGGCAGGCAGGTGAGCGGTTAGGAGCCAGCAGTCCCGGATTGCGAGAGGGATGTTCCAGATTGGAAAGGGTACAGGCCACGCTGAGGGACACACACACACACACCCGCCTTGCACGAATTTCATGCACCGGGCCACTAGTCTAATAAAAACCTAAGTGACTTTACAGCAGAACGACCAGTTGCTATGATGTGCACTGACCACCGGGGGCAGACGCTTCCACAGGGGGAGTGCCGCTCAGCCAGAAGCTGGGCTTACAGCTGGTGAGCGCAGCGGCGGTGGCGGGAGCCTCCCGCCTCCGCAGCAGTGCTAAGGAGCAGCAAGCTAAGCGGTAAGGAGCGAGGGACCCGGGCTGCAAGAGGGCGCAGGCTGGTCTGAGGGGACACCCCCTCCCCCTCGTGCACAAATTTTGTGCACTGGGCCTCTACTCTGCAAATAAAAGATAATTTAAAGAAGGGGAATAAAGAATGTCATAGGGTAGGATGGATTACAACTTTACACATATCACCTAAGTCCAACAGAAGCTTTGTAAAATGTTTATCGATAAAATTATGCAACTTTATTAAACTCAACAATGTTTGTATTTTTTAAATGGAATTTACTCTTCAGTAAAGAAGTTACTAAGTAGTAGTTTGCTTCTATAATGGACTGTTTTATATCATAATATCCATGTAACAAAATGGGGATAAATTTCAAAACCTTTGGGGGGCGGGGAATGTAGAAATTTGAAAACAATATATTGTGTTAATACATAAGTTAAAACATTTTTTGCATGGTGATGTAACCACCCTCATGATTGTGGATAGAGGGTAGGGGGAGTTCTTAAGCTACATCTATATTAAATCTCAAAACCTGTATATTTCCTGGCTGTCTTAGTAACAGTGTACTGGTGTGCTTCTTTTCTTCACTGTTGATCCCTGTTTTCTTAGTGAATACAAGCTTATAATTGTTTTAATATTATCTAAGTAAAATTGAGTATAGAGTTCACTACCTCTCCAGAAATTAAAAATGTATTTCAAAATAAACACACAGCAGATTTTTTGTATGTTTGTTTTTTGAATTCTATTTCACATACTCTCCTGTATATAATTACTTGACTAACATCAGCATGTCCTTCAATTTATAAATTTAAACAATCACAGAATGTTTGTTCACATAGACAAAATGATGGCCTTTGCAAAATGCAATAATTATTTAAAAGAATGCAGTAATAAAATTATTCCTTTTTGGTCTATACGCATCAATGATTAAACTCAAAGTGTTCATGTTTAGAAAATGAGATTTTTCATATAAAAATGTGGGTTCCCAGCTTTTCTCAGAAAATTGGAAGATCTAGCAAGTTGGCTGAAGTTAAATAGCCACTACCCCCCTTTTATAAATGAGTTATATTACTCACAGTTGCCACCTGAGCTACATGTTTTTATAAAAATTTCTGGCATTAACGTATGTGTGTGTAAAATAAAGTTTATAACATAATTTTTTCAAATAATGTGTCATGAACACATTTAGTAATTACATTTCTCAGATTTTTGTGGTTGCTCTGTATGGATGCCCCCTAATTTACTTAATCTATAAGAAAACATTACAATGAACCTCCTTTTGTACATGTGTCCAGTTATTAGCTCAGGAGAAATTCCTAGAAATTGAATTGTTGGCCCAGAGGGTATACATAGTTTAATACATAGTTCTGAAACAACTTTGAGAGTGGTTGTACTATTTTAAAATTATCAACAGTGTAGGAATTGACTTTCTCCTCTAAACTTTGCCAACACAAGATGTATCATTTATTTTCATGCTAAACTTAAGTGATGTCTGATTGGATCTTTGGCATCAAGGTTTTAAGATTCCAACTATATTTTCTTATAATGTTTTATACTTACACTAGAGGTCCAGTGCACGAAATTCGTGCAAGGGTGGGGTCCCTAGGCCTGGCCAGCGATTAGGGCCTATCAGGGCTGTCTCGCCCAGTCCCGATAGGGGCCGGGCCAGACAGGGCCTGCTGGATGGGGGAAGGGACAGGGCCTATGCCGGCAATCGGACATCCCTCTCGCAGTCCAGGACCCCTCGGGGGATGTAGCAGTGCACCAAGCAGCAGGTAGCCAGGGAGGAGACCAAATCGGGGCTGGGCACCGCACTGCTCACACTCATCCCGACCCACTGTGCCTGCTGCCATGGAGTCAGAAGAGGCTCCCACTGTGGGAGCGCACTGACCAACGGGGGACTGCTCCTGCATTGAGTGTCTGCCCCCTGGTGGTCAGTGCGCATCATAGCGACCGGTCATTTCACTGTAACAGTCGCTTAGGCTTTTATTATATAGATGTTTTAGTACCTAAATCTTTAATCCTGGAAATTCATTATGGAATATATATTTTTCTCTCCCCTAACTTCCTCCTAAATTGTTAGCCCAGCAATGTGTATTGGATTACTAGAGAAATATTTTTGAATTCAATAATACTTCAATTCAATACAAATTCTTCTACTATATAGTGTGACATTTTTATAAAAATGGATACAGCAGTGAATATGAACTCAAACCAAATTGGCCTAATTGGCTCTCTTGTTTCTTTAGTGTCCAAAAAAAATGTTATCATTCTCTCTTTTCTCCAGAGTATCGAGATCGAGATCGTTACGATTCAGACCGATACCGTGATGGGTATCGGGACAGTTATCGTGACGGCCCACGCCGGGATATGGATCGTTATGGTGGCCGGGATCGCTATGATGACAGAGGCAGCAGAGACTATGATAGAGGTCATTATAAAACACCATTAAGTTAAATTGCTTTTTTAAAGAACTTCTTGCTTCCCTCCAGTGTGATGATTACAATTTGGGGTATATTTATTTACAGGCTATGATTCCAGGGTAGGCAGTGGCAGAAGAGCATTTGGTAGTGGGTACCGAAGGGATGATGACTACAGAGGAGGCGGGGACCGCTATGAGGACAGATATGAGAGACGTGATGACCGGTCATGGAGTTCCAGAGATGATTACTCTCGGGATGATTATAGGCGTGATGATAGAGGTAATCATTTTCTTTTGCTTGCTTAATGGGGCAGACCACTGCACAAACTGATGGGAAAATTCTCAGTTATGTTCAAACCCCTTAAGTGGACACAATTTATATATTGTGAAGGATGCAGCAGAGTGTAATGGAAAGAGCACTGGATACAGATGACATAATGGAAATAAAGCAAAATATTTCTAACTTCCTTTAGTATATAGATAATTTGGGTTAAAATGTATTGAGTAAACTAAGTTGGAAAGGAAAAAAACAATCCTAGCCTTTTAACAACCTTTTATCAGCCCTGACTTGGTGCCAAGTGCTTTATATATATCATCACCTATAATCCCCCAGTTAAGGAAGGTAGACCTAGACAACTATCAAAACACAGTGGGGTGACAGAAGTCATCAGAGCCATATTGAAAGTCCAGCACAGTACAGTCTTTCCTCCTCCCTCAAAAACACAAAGCAAAAATAGCATTTCCAGTTTTTTCTACAAAATCTTTAATTCTTAAAAGCATTGCTGTTATCTGTTTTCATTCAAGGAATCTTACCTAATAATAGACAAACATGTAAATTGACCGTACCTTTGCTGCGCTAACCAATCAGGGGAGTATGCAAATTAACCCAACAAAGATGGCAGTTAATTTGCATACATAGGCTCCAAGCGGGGAGCGAAGTCTGACGGCCCCAGGACCGGCTCCAGCCGGAGCCCGGCCAGAGCGAAAGCCTGGGTCCCGGGTGCCAGAGGCAAACCGGTGCCAGCAGCCACGGGAAGGGAAGGCCTATTGCACGAATCTCTTCGTGCAACAGGCCTCTAGTGTATAAATCAGGGGTCCTCAAACTTTTTAAACGGGGCCAGTTCACTGTCCCTCAGACCGTTGGAGGGCCGGAGTATAGTTTTAAAAAAAAAAACTATGAACAAATTCCTATGCACACTACACATATCTTATTTTGAAGTAAAAAAAACAAAAACAGGAACAAATACAGTATTTGTATTTGCATGTGGCCCAAGGGCCGTAGTTTGAGGACCCCTGGTATAAATAATAGTTGACATTTATTGAGTGTTTTCACCAATGAGTTGAGTTCTCATACAAGTATTATCTAACTAGAGGCCCGGTGCATGAACATTCATGCACTGGAGGGGGGGGGGCCCTCACCCCGGCAGGAGGGAACCCGGCGATCTGGGGAAGGCAACACCTCTGTTGCTGCCACTGCTGGCAGCACAAGCCTTGTTGGTCCTGGTTACCTGAGCTTCGGGCCGCCCTGGGCGGCCAGGCAGCTGCCATCTGAGGCTTACCTGCGCCTTGGGCTGGCCCTGGGGGACTCCGGGTGGCGCCATCTTTGAGGGCGGGGCAGCAATTAGCATATTCCCTCTTTATTGGCTGTGGGCACTGCCATCTTTGTGATGATGTGAGGGTCAATTAGCATATTCCCTCTTTATTAGATAAGATTACAAGAATTTGTGTCTGCAGTTATCATCACTTTACTTGTGAGAAAAGTGGAGGCTCAGATGTGGGCCTCAGGTCCTCTTTGGCTCCTGACCTGTTCCTTTCATGCCATACCTTCCCTCCCCCAATAGCTGTTCACCTGATTTCTTTCTTTCTTTCTTTCTTTCTTTCTTTCTTTCTTTCTTTCTTTCGTTCTTTCGTTCCTTCCTTTCCTTCCTTTCTTTCTTTCTTTCTTTTTTTTCTTTCTGGTGGCCTTATCCCTTTTCTAACAGATTTCCCTGACTCACTTCATTCTTCACTCTGGCCCAAATTGTCTTTCTGGAACAGTATCTAATTAGGTTATTCTCCTTCTTTTGAAAACCTTCCTAGTCTTGGGCCCTGGCTGGGTACCTCAGTTAGTTAGAGTGCCACCCTGATATGCCAGTGTTGGGGGTTCGATCCCTGGTCAGGGCACATATAAGAATCAACCAGTGAATGCATAAATAAGTGGAACAACAAATCGATCTTTCTATCACCCCTTCCTCTATAAAATTAATTTTTAAAATATTTAAAAATTTCTTACTCTCCATAGTCTGAAAGATCTCTTTGTCTGTATTTCTAACATAAAGGCCCTTCACTGTTCTGCCTCCAGGTTATCTCCTCAATGTTGTGTCTCATCCCTTTTACATCTGCCCTATTAGGTGTGCAGTTCTCAAGACTCAGGCGTTAGCATTTTAAAGCTGTCCCAGTCTTACAACTTTCATATGAATAAGTCTGTTTTGTAGAACTTAGCATATTCTTTTTTGAATGTTAGAGGACATTTATTCAAGTTGGGGACAGTGAAATAAGAAAGGACTGGGGAGTCCTAGCTGGTTTGTCTCAGTGGGGTAGAGCATCTGCCTGTTTACCTAAAGGTCCCGAGTTCGATTCCAGTCAAGGGCACATGCCCAGGTTGCAGAATCAATCCCCAGGAGGGGCCGTGCAGGAGACAGCCAATCAATGATTCTCTCTCAACATTGATGTTTCTATCTCTCTCCCTTCCTCTCTGAAATCGATAAAAATATTTTTTTAAAAAAATTAAAAAGGGGGTTGGGGAAGTGAGCCTAGGCTGAGCTGCTTTGGCTCACTAAGAGGGGTCCTTGGGGACAGATTCGGGGTTTGCCCAGGATGAGCTGCACTGCTCATTGCTCCCTGGTTGCAAGCCTCAAGGGTCCTTTAGAGTTTTGGAGATGCACACCTGTGGGAGAAGAAGAGGGGAGGGAGAAAGGCACGGGCTTGCTCCTGGGAGGGAGAATACACATAGGCTTTCTTCTGTATCTTTGTGTGTCTGAAATATGTAGGATAAACACTGAAGTTGAGAAACATGGCTTCCTTGAAACACTCGACCTTGAGAAATGCTGGTGACTTGAGTCAGACTCCTGTAGAGCGTATTCAGAAGCTCAGTGTTGCAGGCTCTGCCCTGTGAGTCACTGTCAAATGTATATTATGCACAGGGCAAGAGTATAAGACTGGATAGAGTCTACCCTGCATATTGTTACAAGCTCTTAACCTACTGAAGTAATCCATCTTCCACGGACCACTGGTGGGTGGTGAGGTCCGCAAGTTTGGCGACCGCTGGTTTAAGGAAACCTTTGGACCAGCGGTTGTCAACCAGTGGTCCATGAGGTCTGAAAGGTTGGCGACCGCTGTTCCAGACCACATTTTTGAACAAGATACTTTCATGTTATAGTCTATTGTGGTTGAAAATTTCTTCCCAGGTAATAATAATCATGATAAAGGATTGTTTTTATCATGTAAATTTTTACCATTTTTAATCTTTCCCTTAGTCTGGTACTACATCATGGATGTGGTAATGGAAAGATTGATTGGACTTGGTTATTCAAACCACCCATTTTCTAATCTCCCTCCTTACCTTCTCTGCTGAATTGGCTAGGCCACTAATCTGAGTCCCATGTAAAAGCTATGTCTGGGAATCTGGCTTCCAGCCATCAGCTTCTAATTTTGAAAACCTATTACTTAAGAGTTTTATTTGATGTAGGTCCCCCCCAAAGACCCAAACTGAATCTAAAGCCTCGGAGCACTCCTAAGGAAGATGATTCCTCTGCTAGCACCTCCCAGTCCAGTCGAGCAGCCTCCATCTTTGGAGGGGCAAAACCTGTTGACACAGCTGCTAGAGAACGAGAAGTAGAGGAGCGGCTACAGAAGGAACAGGAGAAATTGCAGCGTCAGCTGGATGAGCCAAAACTAGAACGGCGGCCTCGAGAGAGGTGAGGTTATCGCCAATATGAATTTCCCATCTCTGAATCCAGTGGTTCTTCGTGGGGACATTACATCCCCAGGGTACTTGGGAAATCTGTATGGATGCTATTGGTTGTCATTATCGGCATTTAGTGTACATGGTCTGGGGCTGCCAGGTGGTCTGCAGTACATGGACGGTTTAACCCAGTTAAGAGTCATTGCCTATCCTTCACACTTTTCAAAAGGCCTACTCAGTTTAACCTGCAACAGATATAAATTGGTGGTACTTTAATACAGAAATCAGCAAATTATGATCTGGGCCTTTGTTTATAAGTGAAGTTTATCTGGGCCTTTAAGAAAAATTTGCAAGCCCTGCTTTAGTATATAAAGTAAAACCCCACCATGGTGAGTGGGCGGATTTACCTCATCAATTTACTAGGGATAAAGTAGAGAGAAGATGTTTTACTATTTTTCATTTTTTTACTTGTATGTATGTTGGTTACTTAAGATACTAAAGGAGTCATCACAGGTGGCATTGGCTCTAATAGGTTAGAAACCTATAACAATGTTCTGGACAACTAGGCCTAGTTTTAAATGACTTGCAGAATTATATTTTCAGTAAGGGAGGGCAGTGTTGTAGATTATGTAGGAGAATGTTCTTAACCCTAGCCCAGTGGTCGGCAAACTGCGGTTCAAGAGCCACATGCGGCCTTTGGCCCCTTGAGTGTGGCCATGAAGTTTCAATCGCACTGTACGTGGTATTTTGTGGAAGAGCCACACTCAAGGGGCCGCAGTTTGCCAACCACTGCCCTAGCCAATGCAAAAAGTGGTCATTCTTGGGAGGTCAGCATGAGTTCAAGGTGGCCTTCACTGAACAAATAACATGTGTATTTTGTTAAATCTTGTATACAGACACCCAAGCTGGCGAAGTGAAGAAACTCAGGAACGGGAACGGTCAAGGACAGGAAGTGAGTCATCACAGACTGGGACCTCAGCCACATCTGGCAGAAGTAAGTCAGACCAGGGTGGGTATCATATTATTGCCATTTTCCATAACCTATTCATAACCAAATTATGCAGAGACTTTGGGGTGTTAATTTCAATCCTGGACTCTCTATTTGGATTAGTTCAGATTGGTATTAGTTTTACATCTCCTGCTCTGAAAAATCTGAGAAATGGGCACCAAGGGGAGACTTAGATGATCTGTTTAATAATTTTCCACTAAAGAGTACACTTAACTATTATACTTGTCCCTTCATTTTAGGTATTGACATCTGAGTTTTGTTTATTCAGAGCAATCAATGTTTCAAGTGATGATATTCTGGTCTTGATTCTTTCTTCCTCTCTTGAATTTACTGCGTGGTCATAAGCATGTTTAGTGCTTTGGAAACGGAATGGTTCAATTATATATAACACCTCCCTTCCCTTAGTGCAGTGGTTCTCAACCTTCCTAATGCCACGACCCTTTAATACAGTTCCTCATGTTGTGGTAACCCCCAATTTCATTGTTACAAATTGAATATAATTAAGGCATAGTGATTAATCACAAAAACAATATGTAATTATATATGTGTTTTCCGATGGTCTTAGGCGACCCCTGTGAAAGGGTCGTTCGACCCCCAAAGGGGTCTCGACCCATAGGTTGAGAACCACTGCCTTAGTGTGAGCCAGTGTTTGGGGGCGGGGTTTTGTTTGTTAGTTTTTGTTTTTGTTTTAAGGCTTCTTCTCTCACCTCTAAATTGATTTGTACTTGAGCATTTCAAAACATGGCTCAAGGCTGGGGTAATTTGGAAATAGTTGTCCACATGCTGTAGAAGTTTCCTGGAAATTATTCATGCTGGAGTAGACTCTTAGTAACAGGATATAATGCCTCTTTGTACCCAGGTAGGAGTATGCTAGTTGGGTTGATTTATAGCCCTACTTCTGAAGAGCTTGCACTTAAAGTGTAAAAAGAATCTGACAAAATAAGCTCCTAGTTTTGAGGAGACATTTGGTGCTTTAAAAAAAATTCATAAGCCCGGCCAGTGTGGCTCAGTGGTTGAGCATTAACCTATGAACCAGGGGGTCACCGGTTCAATTCCCAGTCAGGTCACATGCCCAGTTGCGAGCTCGATCTCTAGTAGGGGAAGCCAATCAATGATTCTCGTCGTTTACGTTTTCTATCTCTCCCTTCCTCTTTGAAATCAATAAAAATGTATTTAAAAAATAAATTATATGGGTGTGTTCTGATTTTCATAAATGTATAAATCTGGTTGTATCGTGTTTACTTATATATTTCTGTATGTTGAGCCTGTAATTTGATCAGTGGTTTCTGGGGTTTGTGGATTTAACATAGGTCCCCTTTTTTAATTGTTTCAAGTATTGCATTTCTTTTTTTTTACCCCCCCACACACACTCCCACCCCTGAGGGCAAGCCCCCACCGCCCGTGTCTGTGTCCATTGGTCATGCTAATATGCATGTATACAAGTCCTTTGGTTGACCTCTAATCTCTCCCCCTCCCCTTGCCTTTTCCCTGAGGTTCAGTGCCACCTTGTCTCTGCATCCATTTTTGTTCATCATTTATGTTGATCATTATATCCCACATATGAGATTTTTTTTAAAATTGATTTCAGAAAGGGGGGGGCGGAGATAACATCAATGATGAGAGAGAATCATTGATCAGCTGCCTTCTGTATGTCCCACACTGGGGATCAAGCCCACAACCCAGACATGTGCCCTTGACCGGAATCGAACCCAGGACCCTTCAGTCCACAGGTTGACCCTTTATCCACTGAGCCAAACTAGCTAGGGCCATAGGTCCCCTTTACACACACACACACACATCATTCTCCAAGTACAACCATTTTAACAATGAGATTAGAAAAGCTATCATCCTAAAACAAAGACTGCTTGCTCATTTCTAGGAAAGGTCAGGGGCTATCCTTGGAGAGTCATTTTTCCAATTTCTCTTGAATCAGTGAAACATTTTCTCATATTTTGGGAGCCAAGTTAGAGACTGTATTTAAGAAAAACGATAGCAGTAAATATGGGCGTAGAACATTTCCCACTCTGTTGAGATCCTAATAGATGGTTGTACAATAAGCCTATTTTTGATAATTTGACCCTCCCCCACTCTGACTTCACAGATGCACGAAGGAGAGAGAGTGAGAAGTCTCTAGAAAATGAAACATTCAATAAGGAGGAAGACTGTCACTCTCCAACTTCTAAGCCTCCCAAACCTGAACAGCCTCTAAAGGTAATGCCAGCCCCTCCACCAAAGGAGAATGCTTGGGTGAAGCGAAGTTCTAACCCTCCTGCTCGATCTCAGAGCTCAGACACAGAGCAGCAATCCCCTACAAGGTGAGTCAGCTTGGAAACAGCAGTTGGTTAGCTGTAGAATCTTTTTTTTTTTTTTTCTGTCCTCACTGGAGGATATATTTTTTCCATTGATTATTTTTTCTTTTTCTTTTTCTTTTTTTTTAGGAGAGAGGAGGGAATGGAGGAGGGGGGAGAGAGAGAAACACTGATGTGGGAGAAACACATGGGTTGCCTCCTGCACAGCAGGCCCTGACGTGGCCCAGGGATCGAGCCAAAGTATGTGCCCTTTGGTCTGCGGACTGACGCTCTAACCACTGAGCAAGACCAACCAGGGCAGCTGTAGACTCAAATGTTGTGATGTCATGATAGAAAGTGCTCTGAGGGGGGCTGGCCTTAGATAGCACCTAACCCTGTCTACTTTATTAGTTCAGATTCAGTGGTATAATGGAGCTGGCTCCTGAGCACCAATGGTTCCATTTTCTAGAGTTTTTATAGCTAGTTGACATTCCTTTGGTGCCTGAAAATCTGCAAATACTAGACTCAGAACCCATAACAGCCACATGTTGGCAATGGGAGGATCACTTCCATAAGTCTTAGGATCCTCATTTGTAAAATAGAGAATAATATTAGCCTTGCGTGATTGTGATGATTCTAAAGGACATGGCACTTAGTGTTCAGATAATGCTTTTGTTGTTGCTGTATTTTCACGTGTCACAGCGTTATGTACTTTTGGTTCTCTATGAGCTTGGAGAGTGATAAGTTTCTTCTCTTCTTTAAGACAACTGATGATGTGATCACACGTTTTTCTTCTAGCGGTGGGGGGAAAGTGGTTCCAGCTCAGCCGTCTGAGGAAGGACCAGCCAGGAAAGGTAAGATCAAAAGGAGAATAGGTTTTGTTCAGCTAGAGGCCTAAATTAAAAGGCCTATAAAGTCATGAAATACTGAACTTCAGTGTATTTTGCACCAGGTTTTGTGTTAAGGTTCTTAGATTGTCTGCCTTTTCTTGCCATTAGAGGGCAGGAGTGGTCTCTAGAGAAAGCATGGAACCCTGCCCTTTCCTGGTAGAACAGGGGGCGGGGGAATCGGAAGGAAAATACCATGCTCAGTACAGATTAGAAATGTCACCATCTGCAAGGCCAAGGTCACTCACAACACAGCATCATAGCCCTTATTGCCAGTTGGCTTTTCGTGATGGCGTAATCCTACAGTGGAACTTTTTAGTGGATCTTGATGTGGGGGGAGGGGTGTGTGTTATATATAGAGAGTACGTGGGAAGAAGGGCTTAGGAAGGAAGTCTGGGTTGGGGTGAGGTTTAATTTCCCTGGGTACATAATGAGCACATTTTTCTCCAATCCTTAGGAAACCTAGGGGAGGGAGGGTCATTATTTACTTGCCTTCCATTTATTTTTGCATTTCCACTCAAGCAGATGAAAATAAAGTGGATGGGGTGAGTGTCCCAAAAGGCCAAAGTGGGAACTCCAGCCGTGGTCCAGGAGATGGAGGGAACAAAGACCACTGGAAGGAGTCAGAGAGGTAAGTGTGTTCTCTTTCCTGTCGTTTGTAACTATTGTCTGAGGCTTAGGCACCCCTGTCTTTGTAATTAAGAAGTTCTTGGTTCTCCAAGCATTGCCAGATCTCACACTGTGAACAAACTAAAATCAATCACTATAAACAGTTACAGTTCTGAGAATCTAGAAATAACACAAAGTGTCCAGGTATCAAGACCTGTTGACTGGAGGTGCCTGTTGAGTGCTTCAGAACTGCTTACGGGTTTGGGGAGAGTCCTCTCCTAAGGATGTGGCCTTACACTCATCTCTGCAGGAAAGATGGCAAAAAGGATCAAGACTCCCGATCTGCACCTGAGCCAAAGAAACCTGAAGAAAGTCCAGCCTCCGTAAGTGTCAACGGCTTGCCCAACACTCTACTTCCCTTAGCTTTTCTTGTTGAACCCCTTACATTTAGGGCTATAAACAGTGGTTGGAAATAAGGCACTGCTGTTCATTTGACATAATGAAAGTTTAGCATTTTTCTCTGTTCTACCTTTCACTACTCTCATCCCTTTTTTAAGATGAAGGGTCATGTGTTACTTGGGTAAGAACATGTGTGCATGCCTTTGACAGCTCTCCCTGGCTGTGGAAACGCTTCAGTAAAAGCTAATGAGCAAGCAGGTGGTTGCGGACTGGACTAAAGTATCAGAATCCAGTTTCTTGGAATTGTTTTTAAATATTTTTTTAATGATTTCAGAGAGCATGGGAGAGAGATTCAGAAACATCAATAGTGGGAGAGAATCATTGATTGGCTGCCTCCTGAATATCTGCAACCTGGGCATGTACCCTGTTCAGGAATCAAACCTCGACCTTTTGGTTCATAGGTTGACTCTCAACCAATGAGCCACACCGGCTGGGCTGTTGCTTGGATTTTGATGTGAGAATTTAAGGCCTTGGTCACTTTATCACTCTTCTCTGTTACAGAAGTTCAGTTCTGCAAGCAAGTATGCTGCTCTCTCTGTGGATGGTGAAGATGAAAACGAGGGAGAAGATTACACCGACTAGACCTCTACATCCTGTTTTCTCCAAGTCTCTCTCTACCCTGGAACATTCGAGAGCAAACCAAACCTCTAGCCAGACAAGACAAAATAAAACTCACATCTCCTGGAGACTTCTTAACTTTTTTTAAAAAAGTGAAATGAAATGAAATTTTCTTGCATGCTGCTGCAGCCTTTAAAGTATTGAACTAACTGGAGAATCGTCAGTATAGCCAGAAAGACAGACATATTTTAATGGGAAAGTTGTGCACTTTTATGACACATGCAGTCGCCCGTGTGATTAGTGCCTAGGGGGCCTCCATTTAGGAAAATGGCAGTGACAGGGATGCAATGTCTGGAATCTGGTTGGGCAGTAGGGCAGGTATGAGGAAGAGGATGAGATTTGTACCTTTAATTCTTACTATCCTAATGTGGCATTTATGAATTCTCAAATATCTGAATAAATTCCCTATCCTTGGAAAGGTAGGTTTAGTCTCTGAAGTTTTAGTCTCCAGGAGGCTGCCAGCCCCTCCTCTTATTTAATTCTGAGTTACTGGGGCCAGCCTAGGGGGAATGCCTTCATTTTTACCCCCCAGGGGGGTAGCTGGGAGTGAGTCTACAGGCCTCTAAAGAATAGGACTGCTTGGTGACCAAAATAAGTGGGGAAATCGTGGTTTGAAAAGAAGCTTTGGGGAGGTGATGAATTATTTTGAACCAGAAATAGGGGAAAATGATGTGACCTCCAATAAACACATGAATGGTTACTTCCTGGAGCAGGAAGCACTTAGGGGTGTGGGAATTCCCAAGTTTCTTATGTGTCCTGGTTTTTCCCTTTCTTAAACACTATCCTTTCTCAACGTTCAAATACCCACATTCTGTTGAAATCTTGAAGCTTTTAAATTTAGACTGTTGTCTTGTGTTCCTCATGCTACTCTTTCCTGTTACCTCCCAAAAAGCAGCTTCTGTTGAAGCCACAGACCTAGTGCCCCCAGGCATCTGGATCCGCCCCTGGGAGCTGTCAAATGAGGAATCACTGCTCTTCTCAAGTAAATCCTGGCTCCTTTGCCTTTGACTCTCCTGTTCAGTCCTGACCCCTTTTACACCTCAGAAAACTAGAATGGTCTTAGGTGGTAAGGGCGGTGGACAAATAGGGACAGTTAAACTGGGAGCCTTTCTTATGACCTTGATTGGGGTTTTTGTTTGGAGGCTTTTAATTTTGCGGGTTTGGGGGGGTTGGGTTTTTCCTACAAGTTTCCTTTTCTCCACTGAAATCCCACACCAGTGTTTGGATTTATAATGTGGCCTAGATCAGTGTGTGGTTTTGTTTTGTTTTTAGCTTCCCTTGAAAATAAATGATAATGGAGAGAACTCTTTAACAAGGTCCTGGTTTCTCTTGCAACACAGTAGCTTAACTTGCCTGCTTTTATGTGTACCTTTGTACTGTCAGCTCAGTAGGTGGAATCCTTATGGGCAATATTGGTACCTACAGAGAAATGAGACCTTGGTCTCTTGTTTGCAAGCCCTTCTCCCATCAGTCCTAGGTTAGAGCCTGTCCAGCTATGCAGGGGTGTTGGTTTACGAGTGCTGCAGCAGGGGGTATAATGAATCATTTACCCGGTGGACATAAAAAACATACTAGTTAAGTAACTAACTGGCTTGGATGGCCAGGAAATGGCTTTTAGTGAGACCCGAGGTTGAAAGGGTTTTTTTAACCATTTGCTGTAGATGATGAAAAGGTAGGGTTTGCCCTCTTCAAGTCTACTCCTTCCAAATAGTTGTGTCCAAAAAAGCGGTTCTTTCCCACTCCCCTACCATGTCCCCCATTAAAACAAACAGGGATTTATGTCCTACTCGATACATGTAAAATTTGTACAAAAATATCTTCTATGAAAATGATTTGTAATCTGTAGACTTACTACCTGGGAGATGTCTTGAGATGTGAATCCCATCCTTTGGGTTATGGGGGTTTTTTGTTTTCTCCAAATAAATCTGATCTTTAAAGTTCATTTTAAATGCTGAAATTCTTTAACGATACACTCCATGCTCCCAAGTCCTTTTTGTGGACTCCCCACGGACAGTCTGCTACTCTGCCTTCCCATCTCTGAGTACCATTTTGTGCAAGTACAGAGGGTAGGGTTTACAAGGGGAATTTATCTGGTCATTGAGGCCCAAGAACTAGAAATTCACATCAACTCCCCTCCAGCATTTTTGCCTGGTGTTAACTTTTAATATCATTTGAGCATATCTGCATTCCGTTTCCTATGCTGTTTGTTTACTAAGATGAAGTGTGAGCTCTGGGGATAAAGCCTCATGTCCTTGAGGCGATGCCTCCATAAACCTCGCCCTTCAGCTATTGAGGCTATTGAAAGATTCGGCCTCTTTTCCTGGGTTGAACTGCACAGGCAGAATGGAGTCTAGGTTACCACTTTTTTAAGATTTATTAGTTGATTATTAGAGAGAAACATTGATATGAGAGTGAAACATTGGCTGCCTCCTGCACACCCCAAACTAGGAATCAAGCCTGAAACCCGGGCATGTGTCCTGCCCTGGAATTGAACCAGTGACCTGGTGCATGGGACCAAAGCTGAACCAACTGAGCCACACTGGCCAGGGCTAGGTTACCATTTTTAATCATCGCTCAGACTTTGTGGGAATTTTCCAAACAGAGGGACAAGCTGTTCATTGTTGCAAGGGCAGGAAAGAGGTTAGGAGAGTGGCAGAGAATCCTTAAGGTCACAAGTGGGTGGAGCACAGAAAGCCCAGGAAACCTCAATCAGTTCTGGGGACTAGGAGCCAAGAGGAAAGGGTTGGGGGAAGTGAAGGGAGTCGGGAGCGTAGTTACACAGTGGCTTTCCCCTGGGCCGACCAGCAGCTGGTGTTCTGGTTTCTTGCTGGTACATTGATCTCTTCAAAGTTGAGGGATAAGAAAGAGGCTCACTGTACAGCCTATCCATGTGGGTGTCGGTAGGAAGGGAAAAGGCCCTGCCCAGGCTGTCTGGAACCTACATGGCCGTGCTTGCTTAAGTGCTGCTTCGGCACCACAGTCCGTCACGCTCTCCAAGCCTTCATTTGAGCCACTCCCCTTGCTGCAATACTGAGGTTTGGGAGAATGGCGGTGGGGAGTGGGGCATAAAAGTGGGAAAGGCTAACATGAAGAAGGTTCAAGTTGGTTGAGCAAAGGGCAGGGAGGAAGGAACCCCCTCTCCTACGTCCCAAAGGGTAAAGTCTGGGGAAAGGTAGGCACTGGTACGCCCCCATCCGCTCAGAGCCCTACAGCAGAAATGCATCTCAGGCCTGGCCAGCCTTTGCTGCAAATCTTAAGCAACCAGAAGGGTGTAGGCATGACATCCTACTTTACAAGGACCGATTTTAGGCTGGTTGGGTCCCATGTGTATAACGGACCATGTAGCCCACTTTCTCCTAAACAGAATCAAGCACTAGGCTCCGGATCCCAAGGCAGTGAGGGTCCCAGTCAGTGCTGCGGGCATTACCTCAAGTGCTAAATGAGCTCACAGCATCTGGTTTCGCAGGAAGTGGGAGAGCTACACATCTGCTCCTGGGAAGCATTATTTCTCAAATAAAACTTGTTTCTCAGCAACCATAGCAGCCCCTAGGGCCACAAGTGAAGGGGGGACTCGCCTTCCCTCACCCTCCCACCTCACCAGAAAGAAGGGGTTTGGAAGAGGCAAGCTGTGCTGCTCCCCGCCCAACTGCAGCAACCTCGGGTTGGACAATACAAGCTCTGTCCTCAGCCAGGAGATCCGCCTCTGGGTCAGCTCTGCTCTTCCCCCCACTCTTCCTGGTTCCCAGCGCCCAGCCCTCCACAAGTTCCCCTGACCAAGAGCTCTTCCAACCCTCAATGCCCTCCTCCTATAGTCCCCACCCCAAGGATCTCAACACACTGGGCCACAGGCATGGGATCACCCCAGACCATGGAAGAGGAGGTTCAGCCTTCGGTGCCAAGATGGGCTGCCCTCTGCATAATCAAGGTAAGAAAACCTGCATGGAGGGAGGGTGAGAAGGTGTTCCTAAAATTGTTTCACCTTTTCTAACATCATCCTGGCTTTCTCCTCCCTTTCCCCTTTCTTCAGCTCTTGGTCTGCCTGGCTGGCCCTATGTGCCACCCATTTGTATTTCATTCCCACCAAGCTACCTCCTGTATAATTTTTCACTCTCAGCCTCTCATCAGCTTCCTTTCTGCAGCCTCCTTCCCCCACACTGAGAGCAGGCATCAAGTCGGAGCGGGTAGTTCAGCTACCCATCTTACGATCCTCTCCCAATTCCTGGGAACCTCAAAAGCGGTTTCTCTTGAAGGGCAGCAACACCCGCTTGAGTGGAAGGCTCTAGTCCACCCACAGCTCTGAGATTCAACCAAGTGCCTCTTGGCTGAGTCCCAATCTCTCCTTAGGTACCTTTAGAGAGTAGAACCTATCCCCTTAGGGCCAACCAAAGACTCTAATGAACCCTGGGAAAGGCAAGATGTAAAAGAACTAGCATTTGCTCCGAAGAATTGAACCAATTTTCATATCGCATATATCTCAATTACATAATCAAATCTTGCCAAAATACAGAGTGACCTTCAGCCCTACCCCCTCCAGTAGCCTCTGATCCCTGTTGCTCTCCTAACCCCTGTCTGTCCTCCCAACCTCTTCCCTCCCCAGCTCCATTCCAGTCCCCCAGCCCCTCCCTCCAGACCCCAGTGACTGCTCTAACCTTTGGACTGCCTGTTGGACACCAACTCAGCCAAGAGCAGGAAGATCATGGCTCCCTAGTCCCAGCAACATCCACCCCTCCCAAATGCCAGTCTCTGGGGGACCCACACTGTCACCATGTGCTGCTTCACAGCCTCTTCCCTGCCGCCAGATTGGACAGATTGGAATCAGGTGCTCCACCCCCGGTAATCAGAACCAGACTTCCCAGCTCTTGCCAAAGGCAGGCTGAGCATTAAAAGGATGGAGGGCCTTAGAGTTGATGGTACTGGCTGCTTTGAGCAGACATTGGGTATTGAGCCCTGGGCCCTGGCTCCTCAGAAGCCACCTCCCCCTGGACGCTGCCCCCGCCTCCCCCCTCCCCCTGCAGTTTTCATCACGGAAAATTCAGTAGGGAGGGAAGGGAGAAAGGTTCAGCAAGTGCTCACAGCTAAAGAACATTGGGGAATTGGGAATGGATACAGATTCAGAGCTTCTAGAAAGACACCCCTTTCCTTTACCGTCCCCTCCAGGGTGGCACAGCTCAAACCTGCCCCACCGCCCCGTAAGTCAATTACAAGAAGTTACTACCCAGTGGCAGATCCAGACACTGCAAAAGAAGGGAATGCTATTAAACCACAGAATGAACTTCCACATCCACTGGAAGCCTGGGACTTGAGTTAAATGTGAGGAAGACTTAATAAAAGTCTCCTAGGGAGTGGGAGTGACTGTCCAGCTCCAAAGCAGGGCAGTGGATGGGCTGCCTGGAGTTGCTTAGCAATGGTGGTGTGTGTGTGGAGGTGGTGGGGTGGGGGGTGGTATTGAACTTGGCGTGGAGGTCCTCGGCTGTAAGTCCTTTGGGGAGAACAGGTGACACCTGAGAAGTCTCGTGTGCGGCAGAGGGCCAGGGAAGGGTGTCCAGAGTCTTGGAACACAGGTGACCCAAGTATCTGCATCTGAAGCTAGTGCCCCCGTGGTTAGGTGGCGCCAGCCCCACCAGGCCACGCGCGCGGGTGGGTCCAGACTTCGGGGTCAGGCCCAACCCCAAGTACACTCCTGTGGAGGGGCCGACCTGAGAGGCCGAGGCAGTTCTCCGTCCTGTCTCTAGTACCTTCTGGGCCTACGCCCACCTTTTCTTCTGCGTCTGTCTGGCTCGTGTGGGTTCTTTGGCCTGTGTCCTCCGTGTCCACCTTCCCCCAAATCTCTCAGGCTCTTCCCATCTCCTAGCGCCTCTGCGCTCCTCCTTCCTCCCAGCTCTTTGTGAGCGGGGTTCGCAGAAGGTGGGGAGAGAAGGGAGAGAGGAGGACGAGGGGCGGGAGCGGGCGGAAGGTGGGGATTGGAGCGGGGCAGGAGGGAGGGGAGAAGCGCGGGAGGGAGGAGAGGGC